TTGTTATTCAACGGGGTGATTGGTCAATTATGCAAATTGCGATCCTTCCTACTTTCTGCTTGCCACTTCAAGATGACGCATCGTCTCGAATCTTTCTCCGATACCAGAACGGTTGAATAGTCTAATTTCGTATTAAATTATTTAGGTTGATATACGGTTAATATTAAAAATTTTTCAGACTTTTATAAACTACAATTTAATGTCTTAGCCTTAATCCGATAGAAACTCCCAGTAGAACATACTTATTACTCTATAAAGTACTACAGTTGAACTACTCAATCATCGGTAGTCCTTTCTCAATCCTTTAGTAGCAACTCTCAGGCAGGAAGTATAGCCTATGCGTCTTTTGACATCCTCTGAAACTATGATTGACGTATGTATTATTTGTACAAGAGATCAAAGTTTGTTGACGTTGGAATGTTGACCAGTTGGCTTTGCGGAAGTTCCAGCGTGGAATCGATATCATCGCTGTATTTCGATACCATTGTGAATTAGCGACGGCCTGTACTGGCTTCTAGACAAGTCGTTGAGAATCGGTGTTTTGTTATCGTCAGTAGAAGTAAAGCAGATATTCGGGTGGGAGTCTCTTTTCCAAGTCTGCATCGAAACATTTCGTGTTGTTTTGGGTCGAAAAGCAAATGACGGTCTTCTGCAGATGTCCATTTTCACAGTTTCTCTCCCACGCTGATACCCTCTGAGCATGATAGCTATTAATATCCCCGACATGAAATGCGATGTGGTTACTTAACAGTTTTCTTGGGCGAGTTCTGCGTTAGCGACTTGCATGAATTCGTGATGATTTTTCCGACACTTAGAACTGTGTTGATACCATGCTTGGTTCCTTCATTGAGCACGGAGGCATCCCATGTATCTCGGCGATGAGCGTGTAGCCAGTGATCGTGTAACCTGTACCTCAACTTCGTTGTCAATGTGTTTCTTACAAAGGATCAAAACCGACGTTGTGGTGCTTGAGAAATAATCACATATAGCGCGTGATATACCTTCGATATTGAGTTACTATATGCGAAATCTCGACGGGAGATTCTCTTTGAGTAGCGCTGAGAAACGCTTTGGGCTGAGTATTGCTATTTCGCCAACTTGACAACATCAGTTCGCGTTCCTAGAGGACGCTAACACAGATGGAACACGTGAAATTTGTCGTCATTCTATCTGAGCGTTTTGTTGTTATTTCTGTAGTGTTATCTGGAACTAAAGTCTAATGATTCAGTCCTAACATTGAATTCCTTAATGAGACGATCAGAATTTACTTTTTGTAACGGGCACATTCTTTCCGTGAAATTGACGAGGTCATTCCCTAATCCGCTGTGATCCTATGGTCTATACCGATACAATCATTTGGATTAGCCGTTTACTCATGAACAAGAAACTTCGAGAAAACCTGGCTAAGATTGAAACGATCAGCTTCTATGTGGGAACAAGACGAGGACATTCGATTCTTGGGGCTACCTCGAATTCCTTGGGCAAGAAACAGAACCGTTCCGAGTGACACGGCACTGAGAAATGTCGAACAGCATGACTCCCTAGGAAGAAGTTGGCAGTCGTGACGTAAACAAAGAAGGTGAGTCGGGATCTCACTTCACAATAGGGCAGAAGTTTTTATATTACACTAAGCGGTCCCCAGGAACATTGTGGTTACATTTGGAACTTTTAATCTGTCAATGATCCCAGATATATCAAAGGTCTCCAAATGCCGGGGGAGAGGTGGTCAAATAGCCCATATCTATCTAGTTCGATATTAGGCTACCATGCTAAAATGCCAGTAACACCGATTCTTCCTCACTTCGAAATGAAGGCTATTTTGTCACGTTTCCAACCTTTTTAAACGCTATCTGGAATAACGCCAGCACGATTTTACAAATATGTGAAATCCAGAAGTTACAATAACTTAGTAGTAGCACAAAACAGAAAAGAGGCACAGGCACATGAAAATGCTGTCAGTTCAGTTCTAAACATTTACAAAGTAGTAGACAATTTGGTTGAATAGTTATAGATTGCCAGTTAGCTGGTTATTGTGAAGTCTTGGCACCAGCTATTAAACAAATCCAGGATTTTCCTACCTCATGAACATACACAACAATCTGCAATGTATACACAATTCATCTGAATAATGACATTTCAAATGCAATGACAGAAGACTGTCATCGTCAGCCAGTTTCCAAGTTAATGAATATTTCGCAATTAACAAAATAACATTAACATTTTGATTGAACACCACGGTGCCGAAATAAAAATCTGAGTATCAAAATTCAAAAAACTTCAAGCTAAACAGATGCTTTCAGCTGCTCTATATTCTAATATGTAGTGACCTTTAATTCGTGAATCTTGAAAGTAATTTCTATATGTAAATTTCATAAAAAGACTTTTACATCCTAACCTACTAGTTAAACATACCTACTAACTGCATTTATGTAGACCAATTTTTTTTTACTGTGATTTACTTTAATTCTTCAGATAAAGCAAAGAGAAAAGTATCTACAAACCGAACCTTTTTACAGTTACAGAACTGCATCCAGCTGCATGGAAACTACTTCAATTTTAACTGTACAAAAGGAAACTGCTTCCCACTGCGGATTCACCCTATCTAGCGTAAAAGTCGTGCACGACACGATTAAGAAAAGTTGCAGGTATCAGACATACTAAAATCGAGAAAATCAAAATGAAAATATACAAGTTCAAGATAAATTTGCAAATTCAGACAAATAATCTTTGTGAATCAGTCAAACATTAAAAGATGACTAAATCTCAAAAGACAATATAGTTCAGCACACAATATTTTCAACTTTTTTTCCATCTTACACATAAAAACGTCTAAATTCTGTTCAAGCTCCCTACTCAGTGTCTGTTGACAAACTCGCGTAACTCTCTCACAACATCGTCGACCGTTCGGTTCTTCGTCTCGGGTACATATTTGTACGTAAACAGCCAGAAGAGGGTCAACAGGGCAGCGAATATTAAGAACGTATATTGGTTGATCATCGTCTAAAATTTACGAATAGGTAAATCTGTCACAATGAAAATAAAAACAGTACACAATCTTGTTACTTCATTTTACTGCAAATTTAAAATTCTGAAAACAAACCTCAACAAGATGCAATTTTCAGCACAAAGTCCTGAACTCGAATTTGTACTGAATACTATGTGCGATTAAACCTCAGAAAATCGTAACAGATCAAAAAGGAAGAAATATAAGATTTTCATGCGATGAGCGACAAGAACGTCGATTCGTGGTTTAATCAGAGAAGCCTAAGACTGAATAACGTGCAGAAAAATTTCCTGAAACTGAACGCCGCAGAGGGCTGGTCGCTAACCACCAGGCCTTTTTCATATCGCTGCAAAGAAGACAGTATTCAGTGGTGGAAGGAATATGGCTCATATTCTCCACGCAAAAAGCAAACGATATTCAAATGTTATTTACCATGTTCCCGTTTATGACTGTTCCACACGACGACTTTCAAATTAGTTCTCTATGATTTTAGCATGACTGTTTTTCTTAGCTGTTACGCGTTAAAGACATGTCCACATACCAGTTCCAAAATACTCATAGGCTCAGTTAATACGCTTCAAAGGTCATGAACATTTTTGTAGCTAAGATAAATAATTTCATGGCGTGCGCATCAACATTGAGTGGTTGGCTTGCTGTCGGGAACTTATCTCTTTACGTCTGTACGATTCAACTGCAAAACAGATCATACATTAAAGATTCCTAGATATTAAAAAACCCATGGAAGGGGTATAAAGGATTGACTCCTTTAACGAAAAAATTCTGCACTTAAACACACTAAACTATACCAAATAACTATTAGCATTGATATAAATCGTAATATCATGTAGTACCACCGCGCGTAACTAAATAAACCACTTTCCACGTCATAACTTTTCCATAGCCCCGTCAGATTTTTATACAATATGAATTTTGTGAATATGCGAGTTTATCGGGCAAAAATAACAATTAACAAGACGAGCTTGGCAGATTTTTCTCAAGCACAGTGAAAGTGCGAAAATTTAATGCATGTAATGCAAGACTAAGCTCTCTATAAATGCCTACCTGCAACGGCGGGAAAGCCAAGCAAACAATGAATGCTGCAAACCAGTTGATTGGAACAACTACTGAAGTTGCATGGCCCCTGGCGTTTTGATTGAAAAGTTCACTGACGAAAAACCACGGTATGGGCCCTATAAAGACAGATATGCAGGCGATATGAGACTGTGACTAATAACACAAAATTACCAGGTCCGATGGCGAACGAGACGACGAATCCAAGCAGGAACAAGATGCTCATATATGAAGCCCACGCATAACCGTACTGCTAAAGTATGACAATGACTTTACAATTGTGATCGAACGCCAACATATCGATACTAACCGTCAGTATCATGAAAACGGTCAACATGATTGAACAAACCCACATGCCGCCTAAACCACCCAAATGCAATGATCTTCTGCCGGCACGGTCGATAATAGCCGTCGATATGAGGGTCATCAAAATGTTGATAGCACCAATTCCCAATGTAGCTCGTTGCGCTTCAGATTCTTGAAGGTGTGCGGCGTCCCTGAATATTCTCGTCGAGTAAAACATGACCTGGAAAGTGGACTACGGTGATTCTGTCGATGACACGACATCATGAAAGTTCTCTTACCGCATTTATGCCAGAAAATTGCTGCGATAGCATCATCATTGCTGCGATAATCAGCGCCCAGCGAAGAACTTTGTCCGTGAACATGTCCACAAATCGCAGCTAAAATTGCTCATGAGATTATTGAGGCAATATCAGATTCAGCGAAATGCTTCGCTCACTTTTGGAGAAGCCTTCTGCTTGCTCAGTTCCATCTTCATCTCATCTAACTCGGCGCTGACATCACTCTTCTGTCGCAGTTTTATCAGTGCTAAAAGCATAGGTAACTTTATGTTATACTGAAAAGTCCGCTAAACTTACTGATCTACGTATGAAATAGATCCATAAGTATATTCTCATTTTAAAAATAGCAAAAAGTAGCAAAACATATCTTACTTTAGAAAATACTTGTTTTACGTTCTTTTCTTAGTCTATACGCCAAATCACTGATTGTAAAAGCAGAACGACTGCTTATAAAAATCAATATAGCTTACTTAGGTTACCTCATCACTAAGGATTTTCAAAAGATAAAATTCGTAAATAAATGAAAATAAAATCTTGAAAATATAGAAATGCTCAAATGCAATGTGGAGTGTTGAGTGTTAGCTCTCTATAAACGTGAAGAAATTTTTTGTGTAATTATAGGATTTATTTCGTGTATTCCTTTCTAAAAATTTAATATGCTTACGATCGAAGTGAGACCATAACAAAAATATAACGTTATTAAATAATACGCTTATTTACTACGGTTTCTACGGTGCAAAAAATTTAAATTTGCGTAACACAAGAGAGCTGTTGTCGACAACTGCAACAAACGTTACCTTATCAGCAAAATCAGTAGGACAATCTAGAAAGATTATTCTGCGTTGTGTATAATTAAACAATCTATCCACGAATAAAGTACTTCACATTCAGATTTGTTTAGATTATTCGCTGAGACACTATGAGCGGCAAATACGCAGTTATATAAATGAGAGTATTAATTCTACAAACTAAACAAAGCGGTATGTAACAGCAATTTATAGAGAAGCATTGTTTACTTATTTCTAGCTCATGAACAATGAAAAATGATTAAAATCGACTGACGATAAGGCCACTCGTAAAATTAAAGGCACGTTATATTGCTACTGTATAAATGTAAGAATCAGGAAGCATGAAACAGAGTTGGGTACATTCGACATCCAACGGAAAAGCTTTCGCGCTATCTGTCGTCTATTCGGTACCGGAATAGGTCTAACTTTAATTACTGAATGAAATGGTAAACTATATGATTTAATAAACAGTTATAAATAACTTTACAATTATACGCATTTTTTTCGACAGAAATTTCAGGCCACTAGCCTCGAACTCGTTTTTTCACTTCTAATCCAATGTGAGCATTTAAACAAGTAGCTCTTTGCATCACTTTCGGAAAAGCAACTGTTGATTCAGACCTCAGTATAAGTAACATGCACCCGAAAATATACCTTTCTTCGCTGCTTCTGGTTGATTCTTCGAAACCAATAAGTACTTCGGACTTTCCGGACAGAAGGGCAAGACAATCAGCTGAAAAATGGCCGGGACGGCGGTCAATGCTAAAATAAACGGCTGAAAAAAAAA